GCTTATTCCATTTTGGGTCATGGGGGTCGCTGGTGCCCATGTCCAGCAATCACTGTGCGAGGGGCGGGGTACACCCTGGACAGGTCGCAAGTCCATCACAGGGCCACATAGAGACAAACGAGACAAACAACCATTCAGTCTCTCACTCACACCTAGGGACAATTTAGAGTTACCAATCAGCCTAACATGCATGTTTTTGGTCTGTGGGAGGAAACCGGAGTACCCGGAGAAAACCCACGCATGCACGGAGAGAACATGCAAACTCCACCCAGAAAGGCCCCTGGACCGGGGTTTGAACCAAGGACCTGCTCACTGAGAGGCAGCAGCTCTACCAGTTGCGCCACCGTGCTGCCTGATCCTATAATACAGACCTGGGCATTGTACGGCCCCAGGGCCACATGCGGCCCTTTGGTTGACTCTCACTGGCCCCCGTAAGGGGAATTACAAAATACATATGTAAACAAATGAAGTTAACCAAATCCAGATATAGATCCTCTCTCAATGATGATGTCAGCTTTGCTTCACATCTCCACCTCAGACCTTGAACCTGACTTTAACATTTCTGTTAAAGCCCAACAGAGACTAAACTTCTCTCACTAAACAAGAAAAAAGAACTGATAAACACCAAATGAGATGTTTAGACTACAAATGTAGGCACGTAAAGAACCGGGACTCAAAATCACAGTTCAGTGACGATCACTATTATATGATGTTTCGTAATATTTGGAATACAAAGACAATATTGTGATATATTTACAAAGCTAAGAACTTTTTCCAGCAGTATATAAAACTCAAAATGAGTTTTGGGGTGAATGTGACTGAAAATGATCATTAATATAACGTCACAAATGGTAAAAATGTTAAGAGTTTACCATTGTACTGGGAAATTTAATTGAATAAATGACATTTTTTGTAAGGAAACCTCGCTTTTTCGTTGCTTAATCATAACAAATACTCTTACCAGCTTGTTAAAACAGTGCTATGTACTGCTTTTAATAATGAAATACTATTATTATGCAGTATTGAGTTAAGTTGAAATCAGGTCTCTCTTGTAAATGAGTCCTCGAGGCTCAATGGGATTTACCTGTCTAAATAAAGGTTGAATGAAAAAGTCATTGGTGCCAGCCCTCCACAATATCTGCTGTTTCTCATGTGGCCCCATGGAAAAAATAATTGCCCACCCCTGCTATAATATATCCTATTAATTAGTCAGAAACAAGCCATAACAAACAGAACCTAGCTTCGTAAACAAGCCAACTACACAACAATGTGATCTTTCTAACAGCTTTGTGTGAATATACTTCATTAGAATCAGACTTTTTAAAGATCAATCTTTCATTGTTCAGTTCAAACTTTCCAAGTTTTTGTCACCGGATATTGCACCCAATAAATGTTGTTTTGGAAATTCTAACCATTTACTTTTACTTAATACTCTTACTTTAAAGTACATTTTAGAAGAGAAATTTACTTTTGATACTTAAGTACATTAAATGTCCGATACTTTAAGACTTTTACTTAAGTAATAATTTTAAAGGAGGCTTTTAACTTTTATCAAAGTAATTTTATGGTAAGATACTTGTACTTTCACTGAAGTATCACTTTGAGGTACTTTGTACAACACTGTTCAAATGTAAAAAAAAATAATAATAATCTAAAATTGTCCATCCTGATCATTTGCAAGAGCAAAGAGCAGCAGCAGCTAGCTGTAGCACTGCTGGTGTAGCACTGCTGGTGTAGCCTGTGGCACGTCTGTATTTCCCTAAACTCCAGCTAGAATAACTTGAAAAACTGCCAGCAGTCTAAAGGTTTGTAACACACTGTTAGCGTAACGTTTTTGAGATTAGAGTGGTTTTATGACAGTAATCCACTTTGATAGTTGCCTCGCTCAGACTAGTCAACTCATCGATGCGGTCAGAATTTAAATGAATTTTTCCAAACCAAATGTGTCAAAGAGAACAACCCTAATATTTAACAACAGGTAAGATATTAACTGTTCACAACCTTTCCACAGAACCCCACTTCAACAGATCAGAAGCATCAGCAAAGTCTCACCTGATTCCGAGGCCGAGGTGGTTCCAGACGTTGGACAGCGAGACATCTTTGGCTTGAAAGGGCTTTCTCTTTTCCTTGAATTCATGCGCCAGACAGATCCTCCACCCTTCTTTGGGCACCCCATATCCCATTTCCTTGGAGACATACCTGCTCATAAGTTCTGCAGTGGACTTCTCTCCCCACTCTGAAGTCATCTTTGCACGATTTTACAGAGACAACAAAGAAAAAGAGTCCAAAGAAGAGGAAGAAAGCCAGCACCACCTTTGGTAAACAGAGTGAGGAGGAGGTAGGTGAACTAAGAACTACAAGAATGAGCCACTAGGATGAACCGGTTCTCAGCTGATATATCCTCTCGGTGCTTGCGCAATTTATGGCTGCACCTCAGGGTGGAGGTTCTAGGAACATTTTTGTTTAGTTTAAAGTCCTCAAAGTGGACCTCCTTGCTCCATTGGCATGAGCCCGGATGTGGCTGTACAGCTGTCAGCAGGATGGATGGAAGGATGGATGAAAGCGTAAGAGCAACAGGAAGTGCTGAAGATGCTTCATCTAGCAGGGTCGTCTATGGTAAGCTTAAACAAAGTGACAAAAGATTAGGAAAAAATAACACGACTTCATTAGGATCAATTATTTTCTAGTAACAGGCATATCGCACCGGCGAACTATCGTGGTTTTTGCCTTCCCACTCATGTAACATTAGCGAAAAGTCCATTTTAATTTGAAGATAACATACAGGAAAAGGCTTTTCTAGCTACTAACTAAAATACATTTTAAATAACTGTTTAGAATTACCAGTATGACGGCGTCATCCACTCAAAAGCGACCTCTGACAGAGCCCTGTAGCCTCTGTTAGCGCGGCGCTCGGAATGTAATCCATGGGGAGCGTGTTGCTAAATATAACCCGGCTGTTGACTGAAAGGCACAAAACCCTCCCGAGACACATTTTACAGAAAATTATAAATCCAGTTTATACTCAATTAATATTTTTATTCAGATTTGTAATAATGAAACAATGTTTGCGTAAATTCTGCTAAAGTAATAATTTATAAATTGTATGAGACGCAACTGTGCCTAACAAATTGTACTGAGCAGTAGATTTTAAAAGGCAAAACAAGACGATACCACTTTGGACTAACAAAAAGAGACATTGTTATTTTTCATCAATTAAAATGTATTTATTTTAAATTATTAGGTTAATAATAATTTATTAAATAATTTATTTTATAATGTTTTGACAACAATGCGTAGAATTACAAATTATTTGGAGTTATTGAATGATTATCGCCCGCGAGAAATCGCTGAAGGACCAGGCCATCAAAAGTGGCCAACAAAAAACTATTCCCGTGATTCTTTTGTAATCTTGTTGAAATAAATTATGATCTAAATTTAAAAATTGTAATTAATAGTTTTAATACATAATTTTACCTAGAGAATATTTATGTATTTTATTTTTCAAAAGCGTTTAATCTTGAAAGATTTTCCTTTATTTCAGGAGTTGTAATTTGTTGTACAACAGCGGAAGTGGAGCGCTTTTATTTTTTGTTTACCTTAGCTGCAATGGTAGCCGTAGCTTTGATCGTAACATAGTCAAGCTATGTCCAGTTTTACCGAATATACCGTCGGACCGTGTACTGTTTTTTGTGAGGAGTAATTTTAGGCACACCTTGTCGAATAGGCTAGCTGTTAGCATTGCTTTAGGTCAAGGTATGTACAAAAATATATTTTAAAATAACCGACATGAACGAACGCTAACCTACTTGGGTTAGATTGTTACTCTTGAACAAACCAAGAGATTCTTGTGATATATTTAGACTTTTAATGTACGTATTTCAAATTCAAGTACGTTTAATCACGTAAGTTGTAAGTTGTTGAGCAGTGTTTGTTTAAACTCCTCAGATGATCGAGGTGGTGGCGTCCATGGCCCGAGGCCCAGTGTTTCTGGCCGGGGAGCTGATGGAGTGTCTCATAACATTCACCAATCCGATGTCTCATCTCTCTACATCTGCGAGCAGGTAAGATATTACACTCTTGTCTGAGCTTTTTTCCAAGTATAAATGTTTACAAGTAAGAAAATTTATTTTTCGGCATTTGTAATCCAACATTCAAAAATATGCCAGACTATAGTAATCGATTCATTTTGATCTCTGCAGGGCTGTTGGTTGTTTTATGCTGTGATAGGACCCTTGTTTGACTGTGTGTCCACAAACATTTACATTTCATTACATTTCTATTTAGATTTCAAAACTTCCAGTTGATTACCTGTATTATGATCTGGTGAGATGGATGGATTGCTGTGTAGGCAGCTGTGTGCATGTGCTGTTTCTAATACAAAGTTTGTGAACCATATTCAGATTCAGCAGGGCTGTGGTAGCTCAGTGGTCAGCGCCGTGCTCTCGTAATCCTGAGGTTGCAGGTTCGGGCCCAGGTTGCCTCTGGAAGAACTGTGTAAATTGTGAAGCAAGTATTTTGTGCTATTTCGCCCACCGTGATGAGTCGACCCCTGCAGAAGGGAGCAGTTGAAAGAAAAACACGACTTACAACTGTGAATCACCATCACACACATCCGTCTTCAAAACACCAAATGAAGAAATAAGGAATTACGTTTACGATTTGGAGTTTTCTAAACTTTTGGACTTATCAAACCTAAAGTTTTCTTTAACTGTTTGACTAAAGGGCACCTGTTATGTAAGAACAGACATTTATATAAAGATACGGGCATGTATAAAGGTACTGCAGGAAGAAGACTTTAAAGATGGCTGCCACAGGGGTTTTCTGCATATTTTACCAAATTAACATTTCTGTTGTCTGAACAGGATCTCATGGCATTACCGGTAATATTTTTTCTTGTTGATTTCTTAAAATGGGTTTGATGATGTTAAGTTTTATATTAGTTGATGTATGATGGCTAGCATAGATTGTTGTAAATTATCCTTTTAGTGCCAAAGAAAAAATGTATTAGAAAAAATAATAGATTTAGAAAATGTTCAGTCTTTTAACAAACTATAATTGAATGAACACAACGCTGCATCATTTTTCACATAAACTTTACAAAAATACAAGTTTACCAGACTTTTAAGCTTGTTCAAATGTTTCTAATTAAATGACTTTGCAGTGCGTACATGCTGTAACCAAACTGATGAGTGAGCATAAGTTAAATGTAAATAAATGTCAGTTTCAGTACGAAGTCAATGACTCGATCAGGATGCACAAGTTAATTACCAACCGCTACAATCAATGAATGCTATCCTGTGTGTTGGTTGATTAATGACATTCAACAAGCACTCAACGTCAGCTTGTTAAGGTGATAGCATCTGTGCTTCTCTATTTGTTGCTCGATTATTTTGTTTATCCGGTGTCTTGTAACAGGCTGACTCTTTACTGTAAGATGAATTATGTAGTCCCATCTCCCTGCTCCTGTGTAACTCTTGTCGCTTGTGTCACAGTGAGATGTTGGCGTGGGCCAGCGCCCAGATCCACTGTCAGTTTCACGCCAGTGAGAACCGAGTAGCCCTGCCGGCCCGGGGCAACAAGCAGGACGTTCAGGCTGACAGCGACACCGTGCTTATACCAAGCAGAGGTGAGAAGGACAGAAAGAAGAGGAGGATCAAATCCCAAGATTAGCACAACTCTCTTTCTCTCTCTCTTTCTTTACATACATATATATATATATATATAT